GCCTCTGCTGTCGGCAGGGGCTGCTCTTCCCACTGCACAATATCACAACCGTGTGGTGTTCAATATATCAGTAGAGAGAACAGAACATGCATTGGATAATATACTGTACAGAGAGAAAGTCCTTTACATCAGAATTATAGAAAAGCTAAAGGAAAATTTAAGTGTCTTAAAGATCTTCCCAGCAAGTGTCTCGGAGGATGGCAACCAGGGAATTGTACAAAGCACAAGGCGGGTGTACTGGACGTGTTTGTACCCAACTCAGATCCTCTCGGATGTGAAGACAGAAGGGGGACTGAACGCTGAATGCAACACTATGGCAAAGAAAAGGCTGGACAGGGTGAGCCCGGCAGTGCTGGCAGAGTCCACACGAGTCTCTGGGTTGGCGGTGGCACGACAGAAGGGGCTGCACGTAGCACACAGTGCTGCTCTCAGTGCCTGGCTGGGCAGTGCACAGCGAGGCAGACCCGTGGTGACCCAGTTCCCTGGGCACGAGGCTCTCCACCGCCACCCCCCGACCCACTTCCGCTGGAGGAGACGCCTCCCCGCCCCACTGCTGTCCCCGGACAGCGTCACCCGAAGGGACAAAGTCTTTTGGCAGAGCAGCCCCTCTGTTGTCACGACCACAGGATGCGATCCCGTCGGATGGGACCTGGCTGCTGACTCCCCAGTACCGTGACAGCTGGAAAATGAGCAGGAGGGAGGACACGGCGGGTGGGCTGGGGGTCTGCTGGCTTCCCCGGTGACGCTGTGCTCCTCTTGGGCCGCTCTGTCCCAGCTGTGGTGAGATCCAGCTGTACATCAGGAGTTGGACACGAACGCATCTTTGCTAAAGAATTGAGCCCTTAGTGGTTTATATATTAGAAAAAAGAGTTTGACTGAATGAAAATCCAGCACTTATTCACACAAAACTGAAAAGAAAAAACGCAGATTCGCTTTCAAACCATTGTGCTTTGTGTCCAACACGCACCCCGCCGGACTGCGCGGGGCGAAGGCATCGATCCACAGAGGTCCCAGCGGGTACAGCAGCTCTTCCCCTAAGCCCTTGGGTAGACACCGATATCCCGGCAGAAGAGTTATCTTGAATTCCCAAGACTAAAGCAAAGTACAACCACCAAGGAGCTCCCGACAGCTCACCACGGGCCCCCCCGGGCGAGGAAGGCGGAGGACGAGCAGGCACGACGGCTTGCTTGGTTCTCTAGATAAGGCGGAGCTGGCACTTCGGTTTTAGCTAAACTTCTCCTGGGTAACCCTGAATATACAGCAACCTTTGTGAAGGGGACCGGATCGCTCCCAGTTTAGTACCCACCCTGCTTCCAGACCCGATCCCAGCGCGGCTCCGGTGTCTGGCAGACGGGCACTCCCGTGTTCACACCGGCCACGCGGCTCCCTCACAGCCAAGCTAAAGAAAAATAACCAAAAAGTTCAGTGCTCGAACAGCCCCAGCTGGGCACCGGTGCCACGGCAGACGGACAGACAGATGGACAGACACACGCCTCGGGTTGTCAGAGCCGGCACAGCCCCCCCAGTAGCGACACAGAGAAGGCAGCTCAGGCTGTGCCTTCTTTGGAGACGGATCCCAAAGGATCTGCCTGTAAAACCCTCCCTTTCCTAAGCACTTCAGTGCCCGCTCAAGACTGTGTTCAAAGCCCTCCACTGCCACTCCCAGCCTGGCTGGGGGGACCCCACAGAGCCCCCCATCAGGTGGGTGTCCCCTCCCCTGGGACCACAGCATCCTCCTGACCTGGGAGACAAAGCAAGAGTTGATGAATCCCCACTGAGGGATGGGACAGACACACCCACACCTGATGCTGGGAGAGATGATTCCAGCTCTGCAGAGGCACACTTGGCTCTTGGAGCAGCCACAGGTGAGGATGAGAGACACCTGGTAGGAAGGTTGGCTGAAGAAAGGGGTCGATCTCAGCATCACCTTTGGCATCGCCTTCCCCGTGCACCCCAAGAACCGAACCCGGAGTTTCAGTGTCATCAAGAACCTCCTTTACTCGGTGCATCCAAGAATCCTGCACTCACTTGAAGATGGGGCTCGCCAGCCGTGCCACTGAAGCCAGGAGGGGATGGAGGCACCAGCTGGCAGCATTGTCCTGCATCTTAATTACCCAAAGAGTAATTAAATATGTAGCATGGACAAACAGGACAGCACCATGTCTGAAACTCTGGATGTGATCCCACAATGCAGCCCGGGCCCGTCAGACCTGGATCTAAGAGTAGAGGATGAAAGGCCCTCAGGTGAGATCTGACCTCGTGCTCCCCCGAGTGCAACAGGACCATGGCAGCACCACACAGAACGACCTGCTTCTCCTCCTGCCAAGCCCAAATCACGACTTTGAAGACACAGGGGAGTGTGTAAGAACAGCTTTTCCAGGGAGAGATGTGCTCCTTTACCCACCCGGCAACCACAGCAGCCATCCTGCCTCGACTGTCCCTAAGGGAATTGCTGGGGAAGTGCCTTAAAACCGCTGCAAATAATTTTGTATTCAAAAATTACTCAATCTGTTGATGCTTATATACAGGAGTCAGTTCTTGTGCTATAAATCTTATGATTCATTGCTTCGTTTCTTTTTTTTTTTCTCCTTTCTTTTTTTGAAAAATACACTAAGAGACAAGAGCTGTTTTGCTATTTTTCTAATGAAGACACTACTCACGCTTAAATATCCAGTATTTATCATAGTAACAAATTCAAACAGTAAAGTGCACCCATTTACAGAGAGAACAGATGGAAAACCATTAGTGCAAGAATTCTGTGAAAAATGTAACACGTGGAACTGTGAAAAAACCTGCACGCCGCAGTGTTTTAAGCCTTCTTCAGCTTGGTGTCCGTGTTGAAAAGTGTGAGCTGTTTTCATCTTCCCTTGAAACATCTTCATAAGCCCGAAAGTTACACACAGAAGTGCTGTGAGGGGACGTTCTGAAGGACAGGACTGGGAGCACAAGGCAGTGAGCAGCGAAAGCAAAGCACGGGCAGTTCTCCCATCGCTGCTCTCGGACCGTCCCGTTGGCATCTCAGCAGGGAGAACCGGAGCGCGGCCACGGCGCGCCTCGCTCGGCCGGAAAAAACAGGGATGGGGCTGAATTTGGTTACTTTTTCCTTTCAAAGAAGCAACTAAAGGTAGGAAGCCACTCGGGCAGAAAGCTGGAGGACAAGAGGTGCTGAGCAAAGCGACTGGTGCGGCTCCAGACGCCGGATACGTGTGCCGGCCGTGGGCGCGCGGGATGCGGAGGAGAAATCGGCCGTTCCTTACAAAGCAGAACGTGCTGCTTCAAAAAAGAGAGGGAGAAAGAAAACCATCGCACCCCCTTTGCAAGGAGAGAAACAGGGCACGGAGCTGGGTGCCCCCACCGAGGGGGTCCCAGTGTGGCCCCCGCTTTACCCTGTGGTAGAGCAAAGAGTCAGCGCTGGGTCGCACCTCAAGGAAGAAAACACCAACCTCAATCCAAATACCGGCTCGGACAAAGACCAAACAGCCCAAAATGGCCAAAACTCATCGAGGAAACACTCCCCTGAATGCTCTCCACGTGTCTATGAGACACAAGCCTCCATCACCCCCCAAGGTTTGCACGTCCCAGCTCGCTCTGAGCAAATTAGGCAACGAAACAGCAACAAGATATGCTGAGCCCCACACAGGGAAGAAAACAAAAAGCCCCATCGAAGCCAGGGTTTGCTTAAGGAGTTTCGGACCCAGTCCCGAGCTGGTGGGAATGGCTGCAGCTGCAGTGAAGTGGCGCTGGGATGTGCTCACTGACACCAGCCAAGGTTGGAGCCCGTGATTTGGTTCAAGAAGTCTTGCAATCGATTCACATTTAGCCCTTTGGAGACCCCGGAAGGTATCGCTCCCCCTGCTCAGCACTGAGATCGCTCCCAAGAGTTGATATGAGTGAGGTTCGGCATCGGGCAACAGGCACTAAGTTTGCTTTAAAACAAGCTACAGGGTTATCGCTCTCCCCCTCCCTGGCATCCCACCCTTCGCCCTCAGGAACGGAGGAATTCCCACCAGGAATAAGGGAATCGGTAAAGGAAGTTCTTACCCCCCCCCAACCCAAAAGAAATTTTCGGCGAATAACTGAAAACTTATTGAAAATCCTATAAAAAGGATCTTGGAACCGGCCCCTGCTTTTCACGTCGTCTTGATGTGACTTGCATTTGGTTAAAACCCCAGAAACAAGAGAAAAAAAACCCCAAAATGAAAAATGTCCTGAAATAGGTAACATAAATAAATTATAAATAGGTGTCTTTTAACTACAGCTCCTCAAAAAGCAAAACATGGTCTCTGCCATGTACAGCTCTGGAACACAGCATTGCTTTCCAGGATTTTGGGAAGGGATCTTAGAGAGGTGCAGCCCTTGCTACAGCCTTGGCTCTCTGGTGGGAGAGAGCTGCAGGGAAGGGATGCTGCAGGGCTGGGATTGCAGAAGGACCCTTTCTCTTTTGGGACCCACCGTGCCAATGTTCTGCATCCTCATCATCACACAAAAAAAATAAATTAAAAATTAAAAATTGCGATTTTTCTCCTTGAATACCATTTTTAAAGTGAGATTTTTGTTTTTCCTCTCAAGTGATAAATCTCCTCCCACAAATGAAGGCCCCAGCACTGACCCTCCCTGGTGCAAATGCTGTGTGTGAGGAAGTTGGTGCAATCCCGGTTCACACACAACAGGTTCCTGGCCAATTCCCTTGGCTGATTAAAACACGTAAAGAAAGGGCCAACCTTAAGCCCTCAGTGCTTGTAAAACGTCCCAGAGCAACGAAATCAGTGTAGGGGCACCTGGCAGGTACTTGGAAAGCAGCAAAGTGATCCCCACCCCACCACCGACGACGCGGTTCAAGAAGGAAGGAATCCAACTGGGATTAAAATGCTGGAAACCAGAGGAACCAGGATGGGTGTTGTGCATAGCTACTGGTGTTACATCACATCACCCTCAGGCCTCGCTCGCTGAGGGCAATTTGCTCTTTGGGGCAAAGAGCCAAACGACCTGGCTGACGCAGATCAAGCCTTGGGAAGGCTCCTGTGATCCCTAGGAATTCCCATCAGAACTGAGTAAAAGCTCATCGAGACAAAAGAAACCAATTTAAATCGAAGGCAATTGTCTCTCGAAAAAGAGCTGGTTACCTCCCGCTGCGTAGGGATATCTCTGGGCCACCCCGCACCACGGACTAAGATATCCTGGTTGGAATTTTGCTGGAATTGGGCAAACGATACTGGCTCGGCTGATGTTGGCTTCACGGTCAGCTGGGGAACGAAAGGGCTGGAGCACGTGCATGGCTGTCTGACCACCACACAAAGTACCGGAGAAACTTGGTCATGTAGCTACCAGAGAGAAATAAAAATAATAATAATAATAATAATAATAATAATAATAATAATTAATAATAATAATAATATGCATGGAAATCAAGCTTGGAAGTGTGTGCTGAAAACATGAGGGTCTTACTCCAACAAGCGTCTTTTACACATTAGACTCCACAAATGGTCTCTTTGGTTTGATTGGGGACGTCTGCCCTTGCCTGGAGTCCCTGGAGAGCTGCCTGTACAGGTTATCCTGGTAGGCCTGCGCCACGGGCAGCGTCCTTGCCACCTTGACGTCGGGGTACGAGGAGGCTTGGGTGACTCTCTCCAGGAGGTCTCCCCGGGACCCATTGGCCAGCATCCCATGGGGGCTGTAATAGTCTTCCTCTAGCAAATGGCCATTCTGTGCATTGTTGGTTTTGTTATAAAAGGCAATGTTGCTGATTGAAGAGGGCGGGCTAAAGGATTCCGGCTGGGGCAGATTGCCAGGAGACGTGGGACTAATGACAGTGTCCACTGACGACACGGCCCAGGTCCGGTTCTGCTGATGGAGGTGGGGGTACTGCTGAGTCCGAGCGGTTTTATCTATGATTCCCATGAAGGGCGTGGTCCGGGAGCGGGCCGGCTCGCTGGGATAACCCCCCTGCGTGGGGGACACCGGAGAGAGCTCGTCGCACGATCTGTCGTAGGCCGGCTTGAGGGGGATCTCCATTTGCTGAATCGAGGCAGAAGGGCGGAAGTTGGGAGTCAGGTTGGAGGTGGAGGAGATGCTATTGCTGGAAGGGGAGAAGCGCAGGCCCACGCTCTGAGAGTGCAGCAGCGGCCTGGGAGTCGGCGGGTGAGGCTTGATTTCGCTGGGATTAACTGAGATGGGCCTTCTTATGAGATGAGACACATCCGGAGAGCCCAGCTGGTTGGCGGGGAGGGGAGAACGCTCCAGGTCAAGCTTGGAGTGACACACGGGATAGTAGGAAGCGGACTGGCTCCGCCCGATCTGAGGTGTCTGGCTGTACCTCATCCCCCCTCTGTACGCCGAGGACGGTCTCTGGGGAAGGTCTTCCTTGGCCAGCCCTCCGTGCTGACAGATGGCCCCGGCGCTGAGGCTCGCCTGCACGTGCTGCACGGGCCTGCTGTCGCCCACGATGCCCCCGATGGAGCCCTGGTAGACCAGCCTGCTCTGGCTGACCCCCATGTCCCCCGACGACGACTGGTACTTGCTGGCCATCGAGTGGGCAACCTGGCTGTACGCCCCGGTCGGGATGACAGTGCTGGAGTGGACGGCGGAGCTGGGCTGGTTGCTCCTCACGATCTGTGCCTTGGCTGGCTGCAGCCTCAGCCCCTGCTGGGGCACGGCCACGGGGAGCTGGGGCATCTGGAAGGATCTCTGTGTCATCTTGGAGAGCGGAGACTTGGGTCTGCCGGGGAGCTGGGTGACCCCGCTGGGCTCCTGCTGGTAACGCACCGGGGAGCCCGACTGTGACCTGTAGACACTCATGCTCTCTGCAGGGGGGCTGGCGCGGTACTGGGGGCCTCTGCGAAGAGGAGACGGCGGCGGGCTCTGATATTCCTTCCCCTGGCTTCCGACGGGAGGGGGGCTGAAGCGGTACGTGGAGCCCTGGTGAGCCGGGGACGTGTGTGGAGGACTGGGCCTGTAATGTGAGTTTTGGTGCGTCGGAGACAGAGCAGGAGACGTGGACTGGTAGCCCTGCCTGGTTGGAGACCCCACGGAGCTGTTGGACCTGAAATCAAAGACCTGATGAGAGCCAAGAGGTGAGCCGGAGATATAGGCCGAGTCCCTGTGAGCTGGGGACGGGGGTGGGCTCTGGATGATGGGCAGCCCTTGGTTTGGCCTGGACTCTGTCTGCAGGCCAATGGAAACATTTTCTACGTCCTGCTCGAGGTACTCCTCCTCGAAGATATCCTGCACAGAGTACAGCTCTTCGTGCTGGACTTCGGGTTCCGGCTCTGCCGGGAGCGGCGGCGGCTGCTGCTGCTGCTGTGCCCTGCCTGCACTCCTCCTCCACCCGCAGCAGCAGCCGCTGGATCTCACGGTTGTTGGGACACAGCTTGATGGCCTCGTTCAGGTCCTCCAGGGCTGCTGAAAACTGCCTGCTCGACAAAGGGACAGAAATGAGAACTGAAGTTACTCTGGATTGGAATGGAGCCATTTCCAGAGGCTCCAGGGGAGGGTAAGTGGCTCGTCTGTGTTACTGAGGGAGATGTTTGTCATTGCTACTGCTCGCTGTGCCTCTCACACTCTGCCTTATGGGCCTCCCTTGGATTTAATTTATCCAAACTGAAGGAAAATTCTGGAGAAGAGGGGAATGCAGTCCTGAGATGGCACAACCCAGCCTAGCAAACATGCTTGTACTCCGTGGTGTGCGTTAGGACTAATTAATTACTGCCCTCAGCACCTCCCTGAGCCTCACCTCAGCGTGAGCAAAGGGGACACCAACACATCGCTCACCACGAGCTCGGCTCAGCACTGCTGTAAACAAGCTCTGACAGAGCTGCAACCACTTATGCCAGTGAAAATCCAACTTCTGCCTGATGCCAAGACCACACAGCGTCAGGGCTGGCTCCAGAGCTCAGGGGCTCCCACGGGTCAGTGCTCTGGGCATGGCCTGTCTCTCCAATTTTGCAATGGATTTGTCCAACTCCCTCGGAACGAAGGAATCGAGCAACGTGCTGGAGGCTGTGAGCTGCCTGGGGAAGCCTTTGCGAGGGAAAAGCCAGCCTGGGAGGTGCCACAGGGAGGTGGGGGCTTGGGAAGGGGGTTATTTACAGGGACACTGTTTGCTTTGGAGCAGACCCATGTGTTTGAACACGACTGTCATCTGGGAAAACCCACCCAGACGGGGGAAAACTCCCCCACCAGTAATAAACCCCCCAGCACCTCCCAACACCAGCCTAATCTTTTGCACAAGCCATTGAAGACCAAGAGGAGGAAGGAAAAGCCTCCTCGTCTCCAGGCTGTGTGACCCCAGAGGTGCTGCTGGGCACAGACTGGGACAGGGAGAAGCAAGGCCAAAGTGGTGACATTTTCTGCTGGAGAGACCAGGGGACAAAAGGACGCTGGTATGTGGGGGGCTGATATCATCTGGAGAGGAACATGGGTCTTAAGGTCCCTTGCAAATGTTTTGGGAAAGGCATGAGGTGCGCGTGGCTCAGCTCGCAGGGCTCCTCTGTGGAACAGAAGGTCACATCAGGACTTGGTGCACTGCACCAGCTGGGCCAGGAGCCCCGTTCCACACTTGCCTCCAGCATGGAAGGTCAAATGGTGGTGTCTGCTGAGCTGGGGTGTTTGCACAGGTGGGCTCACACATTCCCTGCACTGCCACGTGAGGCCTCTCAGCTGCTGTTTAAACTGAGATGCAACGACAGCATGCCCAGCCCTCGAGAACAGGACTCCCAAGCAGCCCCCCTGCTCATTTAGGAACGGCAAATTAACCTAATCTCACGTGTTTTAGCCTTCAGAGAGCTGGACAAGGGGGATCCCAGGGCTGCAGCTCTCCAGGAGCTGGCTGCAGTGCTCTGAGCACAGCTCTGTCTGGTCACTCCCTGGCCGGCGCCTGCCTGGAGCCACTGCACAGCTGGTCAGCCCTGGCAGGAGGGGCTGCAGGACACAGAGGGGACCACCACGAGGAATGAGTCTGCCCTCTTGCACAACACAGGCCATGAGTCATATCTTGCTTCAAGTCCAAGTTGTGGTTGAGCTAAAGTATACTCTGAAAAAGAACACCCCACTCTGCTGTCCAGGTTTCCAGTGTCGTAAGATGTCCAGACAAAGTTCCACTAAGACAAACCTCTCAAAACACTTCCATTCAGAATTCACCAACTGAGGGAGGGGGGTTACTCTGGAGTTTTGAGAAATTTGTGATCTCATTAATGAACATTCCTTGGCCATTTCTTCCCAAGGGGGCAATGCACGGGTTTGCAGGGTGGGTGCCCATGCTGGGGAGGCCAGGTTTGCAGAGACCAGCCCCTCACACCTTCCTCTCTGTCCCTCCTCACCTGCTGCTGCGTTTGGCCCTTGCTCTTGCATAGTAAGCTTCGTAAGACTTCGGTTTCAGCTCCAGAGCTTTAGTGGCAAACTCCTCCGCCATCCCAAAATCCTGCCATTACAATGGGTGTGCAGGTCAGTGACTGAACAGATACAGAAATAAAAATATATACAGCTTGGGAAGAAAACAAACTTAACATGGATTTTTATTTTTTTTTTTGCCCATAGCATGGGAAACTTGATGGTACTGGAATGTTTCACGTGGGTTCAACATCGTTTACAGCCAGAGAGTTATGATGGCATGTCCAAAAAAACCTCTGGTAACACCCTTGCTGTCATCACCCCCAGAGGCCAGAGTGCCACTGGTTCTGTTCTCATTGTGTCCTCAACAAGTGCATGCAGATCCCTCTCCAACAACCTACAGTCTTGAGGAAACATCTGGTCTCGCAGAGGCTGGAATGTTATCTCATGAAGGATTTTTTTCCATAGTTGAAAGCCACAGGAAACCTTTCCCACGCCCTCCCCCTCCCTCTCTGCACCACACTGACATTCTTCAAGGGCCTGACAAAAACTGCCTGTGAAGGACAGGACTGTGATATCTCAGTGACCTGTCTGGCAAAGGTCCCCTATCAGTGCCACCTGTCCCACTGTTCCTCACGTCTCCCCTACACCTCACCTGGGAGGATATTTTGGGAGCAGGCAGCATGGGATGGGATTGCTCCAGGTGCTTTCCAGTGGCAGTGCCACAAGACCAGACTGTCAGCTCTGGTTCAGCCCTTGCTGCTGTCCCCCCTTGCCTTGTCCCAAATGCTCCATGTCCCACTAAGCTCAGCTTACTTGAAGCTCAGCACTTGGGAAGGACAACTTTTCCCTGTGGAGAGGATTCCATTTCACAGCTAAGCTTTGGATTGCTGACCTGAGCAGCTCTGGGAGAAAGGAACAGTGCTGCTCCTGATTTGTTCAAAAACATGGGAAGTCAACTCTTGCTATGGGGATGCCCTGCCTGGGGAAGCTCATATTCTATTTGTACCTTCAGTAGCAGTTACTGAGGAGATACTGCCCAACAGACTCAACTGGGAATGTAGTCAAGGCAGGTATTTTTATGGTCTCTTCTACAGGTGCAAAAACTGCAGGAGCAATTAAAAGCCTCTGAACTTTTCTTGCCCAAAACCTCACATTCTCCAGTTAAGGATAAATCAAAAATCTTGTCCTTAAAGCACAGGACAAGAGCTGGAGTTGCTTAGCTGTGAGTTGGCTGGTTTAAAGTCAAGTTTCACACTTCTTCTCCAAACTGTGTTTGTTCCCCAGCACTAAGATTTTACTCCCATTGCTTTCCATCCTTCTCTCTCACATCTCAAAGAAATGAAGGTGTCACTTCCCCTCCGGTGTAACCTTTGCTGGCTCATGGCCTTGGCAGAGATGTTACTTTTTGAGTTTAAGGGGACTTTAATTTGTGGAGGTGAAGGCCCCTGCACGCCAAGCCAGGGGAGGTGGCACTTGTCTGCTGGCAGAACAGGAATCTGCACGAGTTGGTCTGGATGCTGCCAGATGGGAAAGGGGAGAGTGACAGGGATCTGGCAGTTCTGGGAGGAGAGGGAGCCTGTGGGGGTGTTTCTGGATGAGTCACTGCCCTGGGGAAGTGCAAACCCCCTAAGCATATGCTCCTTCATTTGAAATTAATTAGTATTCAAAGGAGCACATCTCCTGGCTCCTCCTCACCGCTGCCCCAGAAAGCTGGAAAATGCCTCCACCCACCCCCATGTGACGACGTGAACATCATCATCAAAAGGGGGCAATAAAAAATTCAAAGAGCTATAAACACAGCAATGAATTTTTAATCACCTGAAACGAATATTAAATCATTACTGCTTTTGAATCATAAAACGTCAGCGCCCCGTGAAGGACAAACCAGGTTGGACAGAGGAGAGATCTGAGAGGTCAGAGCATGGTCAGGGATGGACATGTCTCTGCAGGGGCACAAAGGTGGCAGGTTGGGCTTAAGGCCATGAAAAGAGGGGGGACTCACGTTCATTTTCCTTCGACACCGGGAGAGGTTGAGGAGCAGCGACACCTTCAGCTCACGGAAGGTTTTCAGGTCTTCTCCAAACCCTTCCCTGGGGAACTTTTTCAGGGCGTACTGGTAGCGCTGGGCAGCCTCTTTCACTTTACCTTTCTATTAGAAGGAAAACACGTCAAAACACACCCTTGGGTTGAGTTTGCTTCCCCGCAGAGAACTCACTCGCCAGCCCCAGGAACGTTTTAGGTGGTTAAGGAAACACAACTTCACTATTTAGCTCTTTTCTAGAAAGGAAAGCCAGAACATTTGATCAAGGGAACATCTGAGCTGGAAAGGCAGATGCCTCGTGCAAGTTGAGATCTCCCACTTGGTACAGAGCTGTCACACTACAGCAGGAAACACGGCAGAACTGGTGTTAGCTCGATACAACTCCATCTGCTTCCTGGCTGGATGGTCTTTTGGGCTGGGTGATCCGTTACCCATTCCTGGAGAACACCCTCCACCTAAAGCTTAATAGTAAGGAATAGGAATTGTGGGACTTTGGGTGGAGCCCCGGGGCTCAGAGAAGCCTCTGCAACAGCAAAAGATAAATGTTACAGCACCAACGTGGCTCTGAACTTGGACAAACAGGTTGAGATCCACCTCCCCGAATTTAGACATCTAAAAATCAGGTGTCTCCATCTAAGTCTGGTAACTGGGTTCCTTTTATAGTTATTGGGACACAACAGTCACCTTCAAAGGTGACTCATCTTTGCTATTTTGGGCACCTAATTTTGGGATGGGACGATGTGAGCCCTGGAGGGGGGCAGCCACACAGCCAGGGTGAGAGAAAGAGGGCAGGATGGGATCTAGGACACAAGCCGTTCCTGATGACCCAGACATAAATTTTGCAGCTATGAATAGTGAGTTTTAAAAACTTGTAGACTCAGGTTTCTCAGCTGTATCGCGTATCTCTGGCAGATAACTCCTGTTACAATGCCAGCTTTGCATATTTTCTGCTTCACCCTTAGAGCCTCACAGTGAATCATTGTTGTACTTGCACATTTTCTGTGTGTGTGCAAATCTCCAGGTTTTTAAAGATCGGCTTAAAATAAACAGAGAGCAGAAAAGACACTCTACTGTAGCAGTGGAATGTCTCCCACGGGCTACAGGACACGACAAAGCCAGCTGTGTCCTGACAATCTGCCTTCACTGCAAAATGTTTCTTCCAGGAGTTTTTCTGGGATATCCTATCCTGTCGCCCCGTTCCCCAGCAGTGAGCCCACCAGGTAAGGACAAGGCTGCCAGATCTGATGCCATGGCAGCAGCACTCCCAACAAACACTTGGGTTCTGGTGTTTGCAAAGAGGAGACGAGGTGCTGGCTCAAATCCAGAGCGACTTGGCTTTGCTTCAGCTTTGTTACAGATCTGGGCAATCAATCCCCCCTTCCCCAACCCCACTAACCAAAACCAAACGGTTTGGAACATAAGAAATGCTTTGACCTGCCACAGGTTAAGGAGGCAGCATTAGAACCATGGCTTGGAGAAGCCCAACCACTGACCCAATACAGCCCAAACCTCCCACCAAGAGATGCTGCAAACTGCATCTGTTGCCTTTTCCCAAAGCCACTCTCCTCACCTTATAAAACATGTCTCCCTCCTCCATCAGCTTGCTCAACAGGATGATCATGATGTCTGGTTTGGAGGTTGCCATCGCCCATGTTGCTGGACCTGTAGTGTACAGGATGCATGATGGGTAAAGAACTCATACAATGCAAGGGTGGTAGGAAGCTGGGTGGAAAAAATACCCTGGGGTGGGAATTTCTGCTGGAGAGAACAACTTGGCATGGTCAAAGGGCAGAGTGCTCCAAATGATCGAGCTGATAATTCCTCTGGCACTTAAATTAATGTCATCCCCATTGCACTGGTTTTTCTTTGCAGTCATTAATGCCAATCCCAGTGGCCTGGGAAAGGATGGAGCCGTTTCCACAAGAGGGCAGTGCTGAATGTGGAACTGGCTGGGATGGGGGAAACAAACCGTATTTAAAAGGAAAAAAATCAGAGTGGTTACATAAAAGCATTTCTAAATTAAAATCTCTGCAAGTGTACTGGGGAAATCTGCAGTTTGGCTGTCGATAGGTGGTTTGTGGTTAAGTGGATTGTGATTTCCAGCTTCACAAGATGTGAAAGACTAGAGTAGAAAATCCATTAAGGCAGAAAATACGACAAAGGGAAGGTCCTGTCTAAGTGCTGCTGGTGCCGAGGGCGTCGTGGGGCTGGGGACACTCTGCCTCTGCACAGGGGCCACCCTGCAGAGCCAGCTCTGATCTCAAGCACTAATACTGTGAGGGAAGGGGTGGCAAAAATTTGGGGACAACTCATTAGTGGGGGTGAAGAATAAGTCAACAATATTCTATAAGTATATTCAGTACGTTTTGGGGGAAGGAGGTTAGTTTTTGAGTTCAAGTTATTCTCTGCAACAGTCATTAAAAAAATTATTTGAAGGTGAGGTAAATTAAAAGATTAGAGGTGTTGGGGTCGCATGCAGGCTAAATCAAACAGGAGAAAGCAAGGCTGACAAAGCTATCAGATCGAAGCTGATGCTGACAGCAATGAGATATACCTCGTGGGCGACTCGGTAACGTCTGACAACCTTCAAAGAAAGGAGAAAACAAAAAGTTGTAGGAGAGAGGGGGAAAAAAATGGATGAAGGTGTGAAAAAAAAAAAAAAAGAAAGGAAAAAAAGCAGCTGTGAGAGGCAGGCAGCAAGGAAGCCAATGCACCAGCAAAATCCCCTTTCACAGGAAAACGTAACGTGAGCGGCTGTGTGGCGCAGTGCAGGTACACTGAGGTCTGGAAGCATACACAGAGCGAGTGAACGCAGCAGCTCACAGCAAGGCATGGACAGAGTACACTTGTCGACTCAGACTAGTAAAGATAGAAAAAGCATTACCAGAGGAAAGACCTTGCCAAAGAGACAGTTGTTTATTGATTAACTTTTGCTAAAGTAATACGACAGCAAAAAAAAAATAAAAAATAATAGTCCCCGTTTCACTAGGAAGGCAGTGCTGACTCGCCGGCTGGGGCTGAGGCTGCCTTGGGGTTACACTCGTGTTTTTTAGGATGCCAGCCCCACTGCTCGAGTCCTGCCTGAGCACAGAGCCGATGGCAGAGTCCCCTTGTCCCTACCTATCTTTGCTCCTTTCTTCAGGAGGGTGACGACGACCGAGGTGTTGCGGCAGCCGACGGCCCTGTCGAGGGGCCGCATCCCGCTGTAGTCGACGTGCTCGATCATGGCCCCATGGTCCACCAGGAACTGAACCTGCAAGGAGAAGCCCAACAGTCAGTTCTGCTCCTGGGAGAGACCTACATGAGGTGCTGGGGACGTAGGACAAGCAAAAGCTTGTTCTGCTCCACTGCCTGAGCTAAGAACGCCTCCATGGGGTCTGAGGGTACATCGTGGGCAGCAGGTCGAGGGAGGAAATTCTGCCCTTCTATTCCACTCTGGTGAGATCCCATCTGGAGTGGTCCAGGTTCCCAGGGGTCCCCAGCACAGGAAGGAACATGGACTTGTTGGAGCAAATCCAGAGGAGGCCACGGAGATGCTCTGAGGTCTGGAGCCCTTCTGCTCTGGAGACAGGCTGGAAGACTTGGGTGTGTTCAGCCTGGAGAACAGAAGGCTCCAGGGAGACCTTAGAGTCCCTTCCAGGGCCTAAAAGGGCTCCAAGAGAGCTGGAGAGGGACTTTGGACAAAAGCCTGGAGTGACAGGACAAGAGGGAGTGACTTCAAACTGAAAGAGAGTAGATTTAGTTTGGATATCGGGGAAGAAATTCTTCCCTATAAGGGTGGTGAGAAGCTGGAATGGAATTCCCAGAGAAGCTGTGGCTGCCCCCTCCCTGGAAGTGTTCAAGGCCAGGTTGGATGGGGCTTGGAGCAACCTGCAACAGTGGAAGGTGTCCCAGCCCATGGTAGAAGGGGTGTTGATGGTCTCTAAGGTTCCTTCCCACCCAAACCATTGTGTGATTCTCTGATCAGCCTGTGTGGAAGCACCTGCACGAATAAAAGATTGGGACCTTCTGTGCTTATTGCTACAGCAAGCTGAACTGTGCAATTCTTTTGGCTTTTACACTAACTGCCCATTTCCTTCTGGGTGCATCCCAGGCCACTCACCACCTCTGCGTCGCCGTAGAACGCCGCCAGGTCCAGCGGCGTGCGCCCGTTCTTGTCCGCGTGGTCGGTGGCAGCTCCGTTCTCCACCAGGGAACGCACCACGGGCAGGTGGCCCTTCAGACAGGCCCAGCTCAGGGCTGTCAATCCCTCCTTGTCCATCAGAGAGATGGAGGCACCTGAAAGGACAAGCATCGGTTCACTCCAGCGCTCTCTCAGCTGTTGAGCGCCGCAAACCACCCGCTCGGCGACGACAGCTTGTTTTCAGAGAGCTCTGTACATAATTATTAATTCCTTTATTAACGTTTCTCCCACCACAGATCCCACCCTCCGTGGTGACTTCAAATACACCAGTGGGAACTGTGGCAAACGAGTTGATTCACACCAAGCTGCAAACTTTTTCGCACCTACCTCTGTGGGCTTTCCTGGCAAACATCTGAGCAGCAGGGTGGATCTGACATCCCTCGTCTGAGACATCAATCTTTCTTTTTAACTGCTTTTTTTTTTTTATTTAATCCAACCCCATTCCAGCCTGTGTGACTCAGAGATGAAGACCATTTTGCTGTTTCAGCAGGTCACCACGGGGAACTAAGTCAATTCGACTCAGTTCTAAAAAAGCACATATTTTCCCCTCTTCACTCCCCTCCCCTTTACCCAAAACGACACAGTTTCCAGCAGTATTTCTCCCTGAACTTTACCCAATATAAATACAACGTTGTGGGATAAACTCCCGCCAACTGCAAGCCAAGGAGAGAGGGACTTGACGTTTTCTTGGATGAGGGAATGGCGCTGCCATACCAACGGGTCAGTGCTGCTCCACACGGCATATGGATACGGAGAGGAGAGCTGAACAGCAGCTTCAACTGAACACTCCTCTTCATGGCACGAAGACAACTCTTGTTGCCATGGCACAGAGTGTGCAGGGATGATCCACACCAGCTCTGCTCCTCCGAGGAGCTGCAGCTACCTGCGGGACGCTCCTGCCAGCAGCTGGGAGGGATTGTTGCTGCAGTGGTTTTCTCCTGGAGGTGAACTCTAAACTTCCCAGCATGAGGTCTTTCCTGGCTCCAGAAGAACGCTCAGCAAGTGGGGGAGGGATGTGGATTTCCTGACCGTTCCCGTTCATCCCGGTTGACACGTCCCCCGTTCGGTTCGCACGCGTTGCCTGGCTGGCAGCAGAGTGAGAGGGCTCCCTGCTGGCACAGGGTGTTGTTTGAGGAGGGAAATAACATGGCAATGTTTTCTCCAGGAGTGTTCAGACACCCCTGCCCAGCCCCGAGCTGCCAGCACAGCGTGGAGTGTCAGTGAGGGAGGGGACAATCAGAAGCACCAAAGGGGGACACGGCGGCTCCAAGGTGCAGGCCAAGGGATGACAACTTAGAATCACAGACTCATTAGGTTGGAAAAGACCTTTAGGATCATTAAATCCAACTGTTCCCCCAGCACTGCCAAGCACTAACCCATGTCCCCAAGTGCCACATCTTTAAATCTTTTAAATCCCTTCCAGGGATGGTGACTCCACCACTGCTTGGGTCAGGCTGTTGTAGGACTTGACAACCCTTTCAGTGAAGAAATTTTCCCTAATATCCAAACTAAACCTCCCTTGGAGAAATATGAGGCTGTTTCCTCTTGTCCTGTTGCCTGTTAGCAGGGAACAGAGCCTGACCTCCCCCCGGCTCCACCTTCCTGTCAGGGAGTTGTGGAGAATGAAAAGGTCCTCCTCGAGCCTCCTTTTCTCCAGGTTGAGTCGTCCCAGCTCCCTCAGCTGCTCCTCATCAGACTTGTGCTCCAAACCCTTCCCCAGCTCCGCTGCCCCTCTCTGGACACCTCAACACCTTGCCAGCCTTCTCTCACATTGCCCACATTGCACCCAGGAGCCCCTCTGGAGCTCTGGGAAAGCTCTTCCACACGATCCTGAACTGACCCAAGGACAAGTTTTGCTCAGGATAAAGCCTCATTTCATTCCTGCTTATTCGAACCAGACACTTCCTTCCATTCAAACCATCAAAGTCTTCTCTTGTGTTCCCCCTCTGACTCTTCTGGAGCAGGTAAGAAAGTTCCTGCAGTAAGAGGGAATCCTGGAAAGCCACATCATCACTCAGCCTTCCCACTCACCAGTGGAAGGACACCCAATACCACAGGGTGACAGGGCCAGGCTCCAGGGTGTCCCTGCAGTGCCAGCTGAAGGGCTGAGCGAGCAGACAACACACACCACCCCAGGGATGCCAAGAGGCTGCTCCAAGGCACACTGGGTATGACCTTCATGGGAACACTAAGCTCCAGAAACAGCCCTGGCTCCCAGTAGAGCCTCTGCTTGACTCCAAAGACATCCTTCACCCTTCAGGGATCTCTGACCTATTTAGCACTGAGGCAGACAGACAGGAAACAAAGGGATGGTTTTGAGGCCAAGTGGCTTAAGGTGATCTCATGGGACTGATCCATCCTGAAGTGGGAGGGATTTTGGCTGGGAAAACCCAGTTTGCTTCTGGGAAGGGCTGGGCTGCTCCTTCCCTAAAAAAACCCA